GAGTTGATTTTGATTGGTTTCACGATGACAAGTACTTTGAAACTGAGCTCAAAGTAGCAGAAATGATCGATTTTTGCCGATGTTCAAGAGTAAACAAATCAAGCCACGCGTCCAATACACGTCAACTGATGAGTCTGATATTCTTTCACAAGTGCACTGATATCATTTTTACAATGATGCATTACATTACAGAAAACCTTCTATTTTCTGTGAGAATAAAAATTCAAAATGGAAAGCAAAAGTAATGTAAGAGGGGCCTAGAGACGTGAGTAATGAAGAGACAAAATGTTATTTTAGTGTCATGAATGTCTGTCTTGTGTATTCTGGACCTTATTTCGAAATAGGCATTTTAAAATTTGTGTGAAATTGCCCAAATTGCCAATTTCTGACCACTTTATTGGGCAGTTGAAATAGGTAAATGGGCAGATTCTTGTACTCAATCGATGGTTGATCTCTAAGTGTAGTTCTCAATGGAACAGAATCAGCAAGACATCCTATTGAGGCAAGTGTTCCAGAAGGAAGTGTCCTGGGACCATTGTTATGGAATGTTTACTTCAATGACCTCCTTCATCTCATCCCAGAATCCCATGCATATGCAGATGAATGTACACTGACATTCACTTATCCAAGAGAAGAAATGCAGCTGCTCTAAGCTACATCTATCACCAGCTCAGAGCTATATCAGCTTGGGGAAATAGATGGCAAGTAACATTTGCACCTGAGAAAACACAAATGATGATGATCTCTAGGCACCAAGATGGTAATGCTGGTGCAGTAGTAAGGATGAATGGGAGGGTGCTGGCACCTGGGGAAGAAGTTGATATCCTTGGGGTGAAATTTGACTCCAAACTGACCATGAAAAACCACATTGTAAATCTTGCAAACAGGGCAGCCAGGAAGCTTAAGTTACATTCACTTGTTAGACGAAGAATGAGGGGAGACCTGATCGAAGTGTATAAGTGGAAGATAGGTATTAATAAAGGGGATATTAATAAGGTCTTGAGGATGTCTCTCCAAGAGAGAACCCGCAGTAATGGATTTAAATTAGATAAGTTTAGATTTAGAAAGGACACAGGAAAGTATTGGTTTGGAAATAGGGTAGTTGATGAGTGGAACAGTCTACCTAGTTGGGTTATTGAGGCTAGGACTTTGGGTAGTTTCAAATCTAGGTTGGATAAGTACATGAGTGGGAAGGGTTGGATTTGAGTGGGACTTTCACATCAGAGCTTATTTCTTGGGTGGCATTGAAAATTGGGTTGGGTAAATGTTTTGTTAGTGGGATGAATTGTAAAGGACCTGCCTAGTATGGGCCAGCAGGCCTCCTGCAGTGTTCCTCCTTTCTTATGTTCTTATGTTCTTATGTATCTCGCATCTGCTTGACAGCAGGGGTTGCAAGATTTTGTACGAGGCACAAGTACGCTCACACCTTGAGTATGCTCCACTTTCTTGGTTCGCCTGCCCCCCCCCCTCTCATCTGCAACTACTTGACAAGAGTAGAGAACAGAGCAAGATGTCTCATCTCTCGCCTGGACCAATCCTGGATAGATCTGTCATTTCAGCAGCCTTCAACACAGGAGGGATGTGGGTGGCCTTACTGTTATGTACAAGGCCAATATTGTAAAAGTCCCACACTTGGATCCACTTCAAGAACGTGAATCAAGTTTCTATACCACAAGATGGGGAGAAAGCAGCAACTTCACTCTGGCTGTACCCTTCTATAGAACATCACTTCATCTGAGATCATTTATTCCCAGGATGACTTGAGTCTGGAACACATTCGTACAGCATTATGATGTCAATGAGATAAAGTCAGTTGATCAAATGAAAATGCTGCCCCACATATGGCTCCAACTTCATCCTGTTCCCTACTTGTATGCTTCATAACAATAAAAATGCTTTCAAATGAGCTGATGTAGGTAACAGCTCTTAGCTTGTCAATAAAGTTAGGAATCCTTAACCTGTAAATAGCTTGTCAATAAAGCTAGGGATCATTAACCTAACCTTGTCAAACCCTGTGTAAAAAAAAAAGAGAGAATGCGGAGAGGTGGAGAGGGAGAGAGGGGAGAGAGGGATGGGGAGAGTGGGGGAGTGGGAGAGTGGGAGGGGGGGGGGAGGGGGAGAGGGGGGGAGGGGGAGAGGGAGAGGGGGGAGAGAGGGGAAGAGAGGGATGGGGGAGAGGGGGGAGAGAGGTGGGAGAGAGGGGAGAGGGGGAGAGGGGGAGGGGGGAGAGGGGGAGGGGGGAGGGAGGGGGGGAGAGAGGGAGGGGGAGAGAGATGGGGGAGGGGGGGGAGAGGGGGAGAGAGGGGAGAGAGGGGAGAGAGAGGGGAGAAAGGGGGAGAGAGGGAGAGGGGGAGGGGAGAGGGGAGGGGAGAGAGGGGAGAGGGGAGGGAGGAGAGGGGGAGGGGAGGGGAGGGGGGAGAGGGGGAGGGAGAGGGGGGGAGAGGGGGGAGAGAGGGGGATGAGGGGGAGAGAGGGGAGAGAGGGGGAGAGAGGGGGGAGAGAGGGGGAGAGAGGGGGGAGAGAGGGGGAGAGAGGGGGAGAGAGGGGGAGAGGGGGGAGAGGGGGGTGAGAGGGGAGAGAGGGGGGAGAGAGGGGGAGAGGGGGGGGATGAGAGGGGGGAGAGGGGGGGGAGAGGGGGAGAGAGGGGGGAGAGGGGGGGATAGGGGGAGAGGGGGAGGAGGGGGGGGAGAGGGGGTGAGGGGGAGGGGGGAGAGGGGAGAGGGGGAAGGGGGGAGAGGGGAGAGGGGGAGAGGGGGGAGGGAGGGAGAGGGGGGGAGAAGGGGAGAGGGGGAGGGGTGAGAGGGGGGAGAGGGGAGGGGGGAGAGAAGGGGAGGGGGGAGAGGGAGAGGGGAGAAGGAGGGAGAAAGAGGGAAAGAGGGGGTAGTAGTAAGGATGAATGGGAGGGGGTTGGCACCTAGAGAAGTTGATATCCTTGGGTGAAATTTGACTCCAAACTGACAATGAAGAACCATGTTGTAAATCTTGCAAACAAGGCAGCCAGGAAGCTTACAGCACTTCACCGTATCTCACATCTGCTTGACAGTAGGGGTTGCAAGATTCTGTATGAGGCACAAGTATGCTCACACCTTGAGTATGCTCCACTTTCTTGGTTTGCCTGACCCCCCTCTCATCTACGACTGCTTGACAGAGAACAGAGCAAAACGTCTCTTCTCTCGCCTGGACCAATCCTGGATAGATCTGTCATTTCAGCAGAGCTTTCAACACAGGAGGGATGTGGGTGGCCTTACTGTTATGTACAAGGCCAATATTGTCAAAGTACCACACTTGGATCCACTTCGAGGACAGCGTGAAACAAGCTTTTATGCCACAAGACGGGCAGAAAGCAGCAACTTTACTCTGGCTGTACCCTTCTCCGGAACATCACTCCATCTGAGATCATATATACCCAGGATGACTCGAGTATGGAACACATTTGTACAGCATAATGATATCAATGAGATAAAGTTAGTTGATCAAATGAAAATGCTGGCCCACAGATGGCTCCAACTTCATCCTGTTCCCTACTTGTATGTCTCATAACAATAAAAATGCTTTCAATTGAGCTGATGTAGGTAACAGCTCTTAGCTTGCCAATAAAGCTAGGGATCCTTAACCTGTAAATAGCTTGTCAATAAAGCTAAGGATCCTTAACCGTGTCAAACCATGTGTAAAAAAAAAAAAAAAAAAAAAAAGAGGGAGAGGGGGGAAGGGAGAGAGAGGGGGAAGGGAGAGAGAGGGAGAGGAGAGATGGGGGAGAGAGGAGAGAAGGGGGGGAGAGAGGGGAGAGGGGGGAGAGGGAGAGAGGGAGAGGGAGAGAGAGAGGGAGAGGGGGGAGAGGGGGGAGAGAGGGGGGAGTGAGAGGGGAAGAGGGGGAGAGAGGGGGAGGGGGGGGAGAGGGGGAGTAGAGGGGGATGAGAGGGGGAGAGAGGGAGAGAGACGAGGGGTAGGGGGAGAGAGGGGGAGAGGGGGAGAGAGAGGGAGAGAGAGGGGGAGAGAGAAGGGGGAGAGAGAGGGGAGAGGGGGGAGAGAGGGGGAGAGAGAGGGGGAAGAAGAGGGGGAGAGAGGGGGGAGGAGGGGGAGAGAGAGGGGAGAGAGAGGGGGAGGGGGGGGAGAGTGGGAGAGAGAGGGAGGGGGAGAGGGGGGGGAGAGGGGGGAGAGAGGGGGAGAGAGGGGGAGAGAGGGGGAGAGAGGGGGAGAGAGAGGGGGAGAGCGGGAGGGGGAGAGAGGGGGAGAGAGGGGGGAGGAGAGAGGGGGAGAGAGGGGGAGAGAGGGGGAGAGGGAGGGGGAGAGGGAGGGGGAGAGAGGGAGGGGGGAGGAGGGGGGAGAGGGAGAGGGAGAGAGGGGGAGGGAGAGAGGGGGAGGGAGAGAGGGGGAGGGAGAGAGGGGGAGGGAGGGGGGAGAGGGGGGAGATAGGGGGAGAGGGAGGGGGAGAGGGAGGGGGAGAGAGGGAGAGAGAGGGAGAGAGAGGGAGAGGGAGAGGGAGGGGGAGAGAGGGGGAGAGAGGGAGAGGTTTTCAGTGCAAGGGGCTTGGATATCCAACAGGCATGTGTGTGCTAGATAGTAGCGAGTGGAGGCAAGTGACTGTTATGACTTAAAATGCTGTTAGAATGAGCAAGGTAACATTTATGAAGGGAATCAAGGAAATTGTTTAACCTGACTCAAGTCCTGAAGGTGAAAAAATACAGTGCCTGCACCCTGTAGGGGCAGCCAAGCTGTAGTACTGGTGCACCTCTGGCAAGATAGAGCGAGTGATGGCTAAAGTGTTAAAATTAGTCAATACTATATTCTGATATACACGAGTGAAACAAAAATGCAGTAAACATCAATAGAGTAATTGTTTTATGCATTTATCAATATCAACACTGTAATTACTACATTACATTCACATAACATAAAAAGAAAAACTCTTCATCCATTTTACCACCATTTTATCCACCTTCAGAACTTATGCAATAATATTTATTTGTACATGTATATGACTGCAATAAGGTCAAACTTACTTGAACCTGAGAAAGGAAAAACTTCTGGACAGCCTCCTGGTCCTTAAGGTTGGGCCAAGTGACTGAACTGCTTCCTCCACTTCCACCCTTCGTAGCCTTACGACCTGTGGGGACACCATTGTATTGATGTGACAAGCACAAAAAATACAGAGTGGAGACTGATTACTGCAAATATTGTATGAAGACCTGAGAATGCCTCTGCCCTCCATATTTTGAGAGGCTTATCCAATTATTCCTTTCTGTCCAAACATGGACCCTTTTTTTCCCCTGGGAATTGAGGTGGGGCTCTAACTGGCAAAACCTGTCAGTGACCCATTAAATTCCCCAAGTGGTAGGTTAATAATTTGAGTAGAAATCTTCAAAATGTGAAGTTTCCTTTGCAATTTTTTTTAAGCGGGGAAAGACACATGATGGATACTTTTTTCCTCAGTTTTAGAATAAAGTGCAATGGTGTTTAATATCAAAATAACCAAAATTCCAATGATTTACAAAATGCCTTTGTTTTACCTAAAAGGTCAGTTTCATACGCTGGAAATTCTTAAAATGTGAAGACTTCTATACCATTTTAGCTCAGCTAAAATAACTAACATTACAGATATACCAGTTGAGAATAAAAATAGTAAAACAGAGGTGAGAAAAGGTTTGAATCAGAAGGAAGAGTAAAATATTCAGCATGAAACTCAGGTGTATAAAAATTAATTTAAATGTGCCGCTTATATTTGCAAGACAAAACTAAAATTAAGTTACAGTTAAAGTACAGTTTATCATTACTTGAGACAAGTACATACAGGTGGCCCTCCACATTCGCGAGCTTCGAACATTCATGAATGCCCAGCCGCCAGTCCTCAGGATATGGTCAACAAAGCCGTGAGGAAGACTCTGGAGTTAGCAAGGCTAGTTGGTGGTGAAGGGTTCGAGGACATGCAGGAGGGTGAGGTAAGAGAACTGATTGAAGAACATGCACTGGGCCTAAATGATGAAGAGTTGTTGGAGATTGTGCAGGCAGAGAATGAGGATGAAGAGGAGAGTGTTGCCGAGGCCAATCAACCTTGAAAAACTAGGGCAAGAGATGAGAATGACAGCACAGCTCAAACAATTGATGAATGACATTGATAGGAGCATAATTCCCTACAAAATTCTGTTTGTAGATATGAAGAGGAAATGGTCTCAGTTGCCCATCACAATGTTCTTCACAAGGAAGCTTGCCACTACTCCCGTTGTTAACCGACTCGAGCGATGTCGATGATCCACCACCTATTATCGGCAGTGATGCTGGCATAGAAGAGTTAGAATCCACACACTAGACTCATCATGCCATGCAGTTACACTCCATATATCACCTCCATTCAACTGTCGTCAGTAACTGCCTGGCTGTCATCACCATCATCGTCATTATCACCATCATCACAAGTCATCAGAGTTCGTCTGCCTAACCTTACGAGTGGTGAGTGTTTTGTTTGTTCGTTATTTGTTATTAAACCATAACATGTATGTACGTATATACAATACACGTATGTATTTTACGATGTTTTCACTGTTCATGGCTCAATAGGTTAAGGAAGCAGTGTTGTTACGCTAAGTAAATGCTATTATTATATTTCCCTACAGTATATTTGTGCGCCAAATATTTGCGAATTTTCAACATTTGTGAGGTTCTTGATGCCTTAACCCTCGCGAATGTGGAGGGCCACCTGTACATGATGTAACTGCAGATGAAGAACCAACTAATACCAGTTAAAATAAAGACATACAGGTAAGGGTTATAGCCATTTATTCCATATTATCTGGCCCAATGGTCCCCACCCGACCATTTCCGATTTTGCCGAAAGCTGATGTGTAGCACCTGAATTTCTTTATTTTTCATTCGAGTTCTTTCATTTTTTTTTTTTGTACGTAAAGAAGCAGCTTTCCATCTTAATGTGACCAAGTTTCAATAAGATAGCTCAAAAAACAACTGAAAAAAAAATTATTTACTAATAATCACACATATTGCAAGTTACTGTAGAAGTGGGGCTTGGAGAAGCTGTTTTGGCATTATCTATGCCTAAAACAATGCTAAACTGTATTTATCATGGTGAACTTTACTGTAATTTATCCTATCTTCATTCTTAAAAAAAATAAAGTTTGTATGGTTTTGACATTCAGCCAAATATCTGACTTTTGCCCTCACACAAATCAAAAACAAGTTATGATATCTCAAAATGATAACCACCAGCATGTAAAACAATCTTTCCTTTATGTTGTTTGTGAATTTCATTGCATTCCTATGATTATTAATGACAAAGTCAATTTATATGTGAATAACTTACTTCCGAGATAATCCGCAAAACAGTTGGACCACCGATTTTTTTTTTTTTCTCGAGAAAATAGCATTTTTCTCAGTTTTATACTGCATTACGAGTGTATATCATAGTTACCCCTCTCCGTTTTCTTTAATATAAGGACCCTGGAGGTGATAGGAGGAGAATGGAAAGCCCATCCTTAGCTAAGGAATACGTATTATATTCCAGGGGGACTGCTCAAAGAATATGCCATATATTATTCATTCTGGAGTATTTACCATATTTCTTTGTTGTTTATATTGTTTATTATGCCATATTAGATCAATTGTGATAGATAAATAAGCCGTAGAAGCGATAATAGCATTATATTGAAGCATATTCCCCGGCTATCCTGAGAGTGGAATTCCTGCTGACGTAAGCAAGATGTTCCTAGACGGCTCCTGATTGGCAGTAAGTCTATGTATAAGTCCCACCCACTTACATATGATGCCAAATCGTCAATTATTATATTAGAAAAAATAATACAATAAATACACAAAAAAAATAGGAAAAAAAAAAATGAAAATTGACAACAGGTGAGCAGACCTGCCGCGGGTGTCGACGTCACCCTAGGTGTTTTAACCCTTTGACTGTTTCAGGCCCCTCTCTGAAACTGTCATTCTATGTCGCTCAATTTTTGAAAAAAAAAAAATTATTTTTTCTTATGAAATGATAGAGAATCTTTTCCCGATGGTAATGACACCAAAAGTTCGAAATTTGGTCGAAAACTCGTGGAATTATGCTCCCGCGAAGTTAGCGGTCTCGGCGACATATGCGTATCGGCGATTTCGCCGACTTTGAGCCCAATTTTCAGCCAATTCCATTGTTCCAGTTGACCAAACTCATAGCTATTTCTTTAGAACTCCATTTTATCTATCAGCTGAGTACAAGAAACCTCCCATTTACTAATTTGGACTACCAATATGGTGGTCAGAAATTGGCAATTTGGCCCAATTTCACGCAAAATAAAAAAGATGCCAATTTCAAAATAGGGTCCAGAATAAACAAGGTAGACATTCGTGGCACTAAAATAACATATGCTCTGTTCATTAGTCACATCTCTAGGCCCCTCTTATATTATTATTGCTTTCTATTTTGATTTTTTATTCATACAAAAAAATACAAAATTTACTGTTATGCAGACGACTGCATTATTGTAAAAATGGTATAAATAATATCAGTTCACTAGTGAAAGAATATTAGACTCCCCAGTTGACGTGTATTGGACGTGTGGTGTGATTTATGTACTCTTGAACATTGGTAAAAATCGAACATTTCCGCTACTTTGAGCTCAGTTTCAAGGTCGTTTTCATCGTAAAAGTAATGAAAATCATCTCTATTTCTGTAATATGTTTTCCATTTTATCACCTAAGACCATGAAAACGCGAATACAACGATAAATACTATACGAAAATACACCTCAAAGTCGGCGTTTTATTCCAAAAAAACGATCAGAGTTTTTTTTTCCTCATTACGCAATGTGTGCTGCAGGATTTTTTTTATGTGGTGCACACTGACCACACAGACCCATTCTCTCACATGTGGGCCTACCAGCTTTCTCCCACTTGATTTGAAGCCGCTAGAATTATTGAGTATATATACGTCAGAAACATTGGCTCGTAAGACGTATTTATACGTCGAAAACAGTCAAAGGATTAAATAACTATAATTCCTTGTAGGAATGTCATAGAACAATGATTCATGTACCAGTGTGGTGCCAGAGTGTTAACCTATTTTTCTATATGATTAACTGAATTTGTGAATTTTTTCGTTTACGCTGGGCAAGCGTATAGCCGCCCCTTAAGAATGTTATCACTTAGTCACCAGGGTCCTCAATGTGGGGATAACCCCAAGTGCTGTGGATGTGATCACCAGAAATTGGCTAAGGTTCACAGGCTGCTGAGGTAAAAACACTGTAGTTACCATCTTGAAAATTTTGTCAGCTTCTGCTGTCAACTTCAAAAATTGCATTAACCTGTACATTTTTTACAAATTGTGCTAAAAGGGATTAAAAAATTATATCAAGTTTAATTATAAATTCATTCATAAAACTTTGGAAAAACATTTTCAACATGCTGCTTAATAAGCCAAGAAGGTGAAAGTTATAGTCATGTTCAAACAGCTGATGGTGTCTTTAATAATAATAATAATAATAATAATAATAATAATAATAATAATAATAATAAATCTTTATTTCTACAAGTATGTACATGTACAATGCATACAGGCCTAGCTGGCATAACATACTATTACAGTAGGGCCCTGCCTTACGGCATTCCGCCTTACGGCATTCCACCTTACAGTGTTCCGCTAATATGGCGATTTCAAATTATGACCAAAATTTGCTATACTTCAAGCAGTCTTTCAAATATGACACGCCCCACCTGGTTTGTTTACATTCTTCGTGAGCACATCTATTATGTCTGGAAACTTTCCATAATTTCAAGTGTTTAAAAGTTATTGAGTATTTTATATGTATGCTTATGTGTACCTGTACCTAAATATACGTACAGTGGTCCCTCGCTTTTCATAGTTCTCGGCAATCGTAAATTTCGCCAATCATAGGGGTATTTTTGTATAAACATGGACTCGCTTTTCATAGGTTGACTCGCGAATAGTAGTTTGTCCGGGTCGCGTAAGCACGGTGCGAGCCGGGGAGGCCTCCCTACCCAGCCAGTCTGACATTGTTTACCAGTGAGTGAAGGTCCCCTCAAGTGCTCCTACGAAATATTTCATAATATTCCACTCATTTTAGTGCTTGCAAGTACTAAATAAGCTACAAT